CTGCGCACTGCCTAGAGCTAGTTGTTTAACCATCTGGTGGTCCCTACACCCCCTCTGGTTTAGGTAATTTCCCCAGCAGGGAAACAAGGGGCTTTGAAGTATCTAATTTATGCCTGACAAAAGCATCCTTTAGGATAGGAACAGAACAATTAAGTATAGCAGATAACAAGACTTTATGGTCCATAGGAAGATTCCTAAATCTAGATGGGAACTAGCAAAGCTGTAAGCCAAAGACCAAGCTGGGAATAGGTGGAGTTTCGCAGTCACTGACCTTAACAGGTAGATTCTTAAATCTAGAATTTGGTGGGGACAGGGAGTGTTTATGCCCCAAATTCACTGCAAATTCAGCATTGTGGCATGTGGGCCTGTAACTGACTCAATCTCTGTCACTGGACCACTTTCATATAAGTCTCTTTGGGAAGACAAGTCAAAAAATTAAAAAAAAAAAACCCACCAAACTTGAGATGGCACTGCCAGGTGCTTATAATGGGCGATGGCAGGCATCAGGGAACAGGGCAAAACTAATTACTAACAAGAGTGATTTTTGCAAAACATTAGAAATTTTATGTCACCCAAGCTAGAAGGAATAGTTTAAAATAGATACTTTGAGTCCCCAGGAAGAACTAAGATGGATGGGAGAGGCTATGTTCTCTATATTCTTGCTGCATTTCTGAAGTCCAACGAAGTTAAATGGTAGACTTTCAGCTGTTAGCCATTTTCAATAGGCTTTTGCAACTTGCAGGCCTGTGAATCTCTAGTCCTGACAGAATAGAGAAAAATGGTTTCCCTCCCTGTATCTTAGAGCTTTCCTCTTACCTTTAAACTCTACCCAGATGCCTACCTAGGTGCTTTTTAATATTTGGGAACAGAGATTTCCATACAAGTACACCCTTGACCCTTTCAGCTGCTTTTGAAAAAAGCATACCAGCCACCGTTTTCTTACTGCACTTCTTCATATGTTCTTCTCAAAACATATGCATATGCATCTTTTCACTACCTGCAAGTCAACCACCCAGACATTCCCTTCGAAAGTCCCATCTCATTCCTCTTTACAAAAGGCAGGTTTTGCCTCCTGGTGCAGTGCTTCTCTGGGCAGAAAACTGGAATTACGTCAACTTGAAAAATATAAGTCCTAGAGATTTAGTCTGCAGTACACACACCTGGACATAAGGATTTTAAAAGCTCACTAGGTAACTTTAATGCACATCTAAGGTTAACTACTACTCAACCACCTCACAAATTTGCTAATTCAATTATCCTAATTATACAGTTCTTCTAGATGTGAGAGGCCCCTAGAACTTATTACTGTATAAATTTTTGTGTTAGTCAGACCTTTAGGATTTCTCTTGATATTACTTTTATGTGCCACCTGAAAAAACAGGCTCTGAACTGGAAACAAGAACTACATGCCTTACTTCCATTCATGTTTGGCTTCAACACCTTCCTATTAACATCTTTTGTATTTACACTATTATACTAACCTATCTTCTCTTCTCATTATGCTTTTTAGTTCTAATTTAATCAGCAGGGAGAGATTCTCACTCTAGCTCGTATCAGGGGTTTAACACCAACACTCTTTACTTCCTTTGAATTTAGGCTCCTCTGTAAAACATCAGAGAATATTACGCAGGCATATGTCTATATCCACCTGTTTCTCTGCAGTTTAACTTTTTTACTTTTACTTTTTAAACAGCTGTTTCCATTTTTACTCTATCCCAAGGTCCTTCCATATACTAAAATGCTCTCAACATAGTGTTTCTTATTAGTCGGAATAAACAGCACAGTATGTTCTGGGTGAGGTACAGCACTGATAAAGCAAGTGAGGTTCTTAAAACATATTTAGTAGCCCATATTCTACGTAACTAATTTATTGGGCACTCTCATTTCTACATCATATATTTGCTACTGTCAACTAGTTTCCTTGAGTTATCAAGGGCACTTTTTCTTAGATGCCTCTAAATTCAAGTGAAACGCATTTTCTTGGTTAAGGTGATCTGGACTAGGGTCTAGAAATTCAAGCTCCCTGTGACATTAGTGTAGCTGAATTTTCCTTACATTAAATAAAAAGGTCAACTGTCAGTGGCCAAGTCCTTCAGTCTCCCAGATAAGTCATTAACAGTACTAACTGGGTCTCTCCTGAAAATAAAAATTAGTGCATCAGAGGTTAGTCAATGTTATCACAGGCCAGCAAAGTGTTTTCAGAAAAAATTATGCCTTTCAACTGATCTCATTCAATATACCTGCATTTCTCCATCGGGTATGTCTACAAAGCAGTATCATGTAAGTTACCTCAAGAGTACTTGTGAAGTATAGTTTGTCATCTAGTTCTTTACTTTCCATATTATACAGGTGGGCATTTCTTTCCCTAATCCTTTTGAATACCACATACTACTGCTAAATTGCCTAACATATTCTTTTACTGACACTTTCTGGTCACCCTATGGCTTGAACTGCTGTATCTACCCTACTCCTTCTATTACATTCTTCTCAACCCTCACTTGACCCTAAGTATATTCCCTTCTAATTTACCATAATCCTTTTGTTGCTATTTGTATTATTTTCCTTTTCTATTACACCTGGATACCTCTGAAAAACAGAGGCTTTAAAACACAACTAGTACCACTCATGTAATCTTTATAGGTCCTAGATACTGGGGTAACATGTAAACTATAATCTAGTGGGAGTCTTCGTTTTAAGCATTCCAAATTTATCAACCACGCCCCACCTGACATGTTCCAGTTAGCGCATTACAAAGGGTGAGACAGTAGCAAATTACATAAAGTACCTATGGCCACTGGGATCCAAAGAAGTTTCTCTATTAGAAATTACGTAGGCACAAGAAAAAAAAGTCCCAAAGGATTTTTTCTAACCATCCACCTTCTCTCCTGCTTTCCCGAATGGAAACTGTTTTCTTAGATTTCATGGCATATTGAGAAACAGTTTTAAATTTTATGTCAAATTAAAACAAATGTGTCTTCAAAGTTCATACTTTGTTATAAATCTTACTTCCACCCAATAATGTAGGGCTCTGTCAGACTGTCAAGTAGCAAGAATTCCCACAGATCAGCTGACTCCAAGACTGTCAAAGTCTCTCCCCTTTACCCATATTGCAAATTTTGTGCTCTGCCAATACAATTTCTATTGAACAAACTCCAATCAGGGTTAAGTAATGTCACCGGACTGTAAGCCTGCCATCTGAACCATGGACTTTAGGAACATCAGCCACCCCGCCCCCCTTTAAGTCTGAATTTACTTGCAGATGATCAGATTTGAAAAGCCATTTCACCATGTCTTATTTTAATGTTTCCTCTACATTGCTATAGTTTTGACCTAGAAACCCAAATGTCAATGTATTAAATGAGTATACTTGTGATGATAAAAACCAAGTGTTATCCCCCCCCTTAGTTGCATGAGGAAATTTAACTCTCAGTAGCTGGAGTACGAAATGACTCTTCCTCATCAAGACAAATGGGAGGTTTCTTAGTATTTCAGCCTAAACTCTAACACATAGGTAGCGTGTAGATTTCCAGTGAGTGTGTGATCATGCTCTTTTAGACAGAATTGAAAGTACAGCTGGCCCTCTGTATCTGTGGGTTCTGCATCCATGGATTCAACCAACTGTGGATTAAAAATAGTCAAGGGAAAAAAGAAGGACCAAAACCAATAAAAAATATTACAACAACTAAAAAATATGGTCACTATTTACATAGTTTACACTGTATTATGTATTTTAACTAATGGAGGGATGATTTAAAGTATACAGAAGGATTTGCATAGGTCATATGTATACTACAAAATTTTACATAAGGGACTTGAGTATCCATGGATTTCAGTATCCACAGGGGGCCCTGGAACCAATCCCCTCATGGAAACCAACGGACAACTGTAACCTCTGATAGAACACAATAATAAATTTGTATCACCAGAAATATAGAAAGGGGTCCTACAGTGCAAGGAAAAGTAGACACTTAAAAATTCTGGATTATTCTGTTCAATATTTTCCAAAAATTTATGGGTAATACCATAATCTTAAACAAGATTTACTGGCATTTTAGGCCTCTGATACTTTCTTCTAAAAGCATACAGTTTATTTTCTAGTCATGGTTTACCTGCTAAAGAGTTAAATAAATTTTGCTCATGACAGGATGGCAAAAAATGCTGGTGCAGCATGCCATGAAACAACAGCAACTTTTCAGGGAGGTATCTGTTCTTAAAAATAATAACCATGTTCTTTTCTGCAATACTAGAAAAAAAGGAAGTCTAAAACACAAATGAACTGGGCCTTTTAGGACTAAGTAAGCATAACTCTGGCAGCTATTTAATCTATCCATCCTATGATTTTGGTGCTAAGTGGTACAATGCCTACAAAATCACTACAATTAATCTAGTTGGAGGGAAAATATAAAAATTTGTTCATATGGGTAAAAGATCACTTAATGTAAAATAAATGTATAACCCTCACTATGTTACAACTATCTTGGAAGGCAGACTACAGAATACCAGGAAAAAGAGTGTTCCTATTTTTAAAAACATTAAGACACAGGCGCAGAATCCAGAAGGTAACTAGGGCTATAAAATACTAATTAAAAGGACTAAACAGAAGAGGTTCATTCTCCAGCTGTTTCAATTTTCCTAAAAATCTTAATGCATATGAACCTCTTATTAAAGGACAAAATGATTTAGCACACAATAAAAATCTCAAAGGGTGCCAGCTATACCACAAGGAACTGTTGAAAAGGCAGAATGTAGTTTCCAAACTTTTTCATAAGAATGTAAAAGTCATTTTGCAAAAGAATCTCTATTCCATGTCAAGTTATTGAACTCCTTAATGCAACAACCACCTTAATGAAATATTACTTTAGTAGTGTATGTTGGTATGCATGTTTATGAATCCAAGTAAAATATCCCTAATACACTCCAGGAGTTTTGTGGAGGCTGCTGTAAAACAAAGAATTTGAAATAAACAATTATAAAATACAAAAATAAAAAACCAGGTTTTCTTTTCTCCAAATTCCTGGTTTAATAAGGACTTGTTTATTTTGAGGAAAAAGGTCCCAAACATCAGGCTGTTCACAAAAATAACCCACAGTATCAACTTTAGAAAACAAATCTTAAGACTATTACACTAATTTATCTAGAGGATGCATTTGACATGCCAACTCTCATTCACAAAAATACATTGTTACATTTGTGTTGAACTGCCCCACACAGCACTCTTATGTGGGGTATAACACACATACTTCTAACTCAAAGCTGCTCTCAGATGCTACTAACTAAATGAGATTGCCTTTGCAGTTAGGGAAGCAACTACTTAACTCATGTATGAATGGAAAGAACTGTACTCCCTGCATAACAAGAGATTATTTTGGAGACAGCTGATAAAAACCATACATCCTTTTTATTGTTAAGTCAAAGAGGTATCAAAATTAAAAGCAAAAAGTTACAGGGTAAGACTTAACAAAACTACTAGGAGCATCAAAGGAAGTGAAAATGGGACTAGGCGCAGGGCAATATGAATTAATGAACATGGGAAGGACAAGGATGGGGAGAACAGTGAGCATGTGCTGAAGATACTAGGGGAGAGGATCTGGTGAGAATTTTGATCTTAGACAAGCGCCTAGGTAAAGAAATAATGGGATAAGATTTCTAAACCCCACTATGTGCTTAAGAGTCATCCTCGCCATTGGCGCTGTCTCTGTCATCCTCTCCTTCCTCAGCCTCTTTTTCATCATCCTTGATCAACTCCAGCTGTGAGAAACAGACACAAATAGGATGGAGTTAGAGGCACTCCATGTGTCCCTGAACCCCCCTCCACCACCTTTTTCTTTCCTTTCCCGTGGTTTTCACCTGGTCATCCCCCCGATCTTCATTATCATCATCATCCAGTAGGTCCCCCTCCTCAGCAGAGTCATCTGCACCCCCCTCAGACTCCATCTTCACATTAGTCTCATCTTTCTTCTGGGAGCTGCTGCTCTGCTCCTCTTCTGACTTATCATTCTTCATCTCTACTGTGGATGAGAAGGACAAGTTTGTCTAGGGGCAAGTAAGGTCCACAGGATGTAGACAATCCCCACTAATAATCACAGAACTGCAGCACAAGTCTAAATCCTCCCACACAAATCCTCCCAGTTAGACTGTAACTAACTGGGTCTGCAAACAGCAGTATATTGTGCTAGCCAAATCCCTCTTCATTTCACCCACAGAAAGATACAACATCACTACTAGTTCTATTAGGTTGAACCACATAAAATTGCCAGTATTGACCACTTATTTCTAACCTATGAAAATATAATCATTTACATAATCACCTTCCCAATTCAAACTCACCACGTTTTTTTCATATTAAACTATTTTATATCCCACTACTCCAACATATACTTTCAACTGTCTTAGGTAAATTAACGCAAAGTTACACCCAGCAAGTAGAAAAATAGTTACCTGCTTGTTTGCTCTGTTCCTTTTCAATTTTTTCCAGGTTTTCCAGTAGAGAATCAACTTTTTGTTTTATCTGAGTCAATTCCTTCTTAATGGCCTGAAGGTCATCTCCTTTCACTTAAATACAAACAAAACCCTAGATTAGAATCAAATGTACCAGAAGCTATCAGCTACCAAATACATTCCCATTAGACTTTACCAGGAGCCAATAGGAGATCCCTTTGGAGAAATGGGTCATAAGTTTTTTTTTTGTTTTTTTTAAAAAACGGGATCTCACTAAATTATACAGGCTGGAGTGCAGTGGCTATTCACAAGCATGATAATAGCACAGTACATCCTTGAACATTTGGCCTCAAGCAACCCTCCCCCTGCTTCAGCCTCCAAAGTAGCTGGGAGTACAGATGCACAGGATACTGCAACTAGACTTCTGTAATGTTTTACTGGCTTACATATTTCTGCATTGCAAGAGGAGTTCAACATAGAAAAGCAAAAACACATCCTCAAAGTACTTTCCAAATTACACAAAGATCTTTCATAAATTTAACAGGTGCCTCAAACCATAAAGTCTAATGGGTTTCTCCAAAGTACAAATCTGTTAGGGAAAGAAGGCAGCCTAGAGCTGGCCCCTTAATCACTACCTTGACTCTTCCATTTTGATCATACAAAGCCAGATGGCACAAAAACATTATAATTGCATTAACTTCCCTATTTGAAAACACAAGAAATATCAGGACTGCAAAGCTGAAATAACACATACACTTTCCAGACTTGGAAGAAGAACCCCGCTGTCCACTCTTAGAATTGAAGCCACTTTTCCCCCTTCGTGAGGTGTTTCCCGATACACGCTGGCGTTTTGAGGGCACCACAGCCCGAGCAATAGGAGGAGGAGGAGGAACGCGTGCTGGGTAACTGTACATCCTATTGGACAAAAGTAAAACAGAATTTCTTCACACCTAATATTAAGTTAGCAAGATCCAACACTGACCTCATAAAACAATTTATATTACTCTCTCAGTCTTTTCTTTTTTATGAATTTCACTAAAAAAAAATCCTCCATTTTTTTGATGAAATATTTTTAGCACTACAATTTTTCTTCATGAAAATACACAAACACACACACACATCCAATGATATGGTAGGCTGGCCTTAAACACCAGAGATAAAGGCCTCTATAATAATGGCATTATTAACAAAACATTGTTTTAAAATAATCAATGGCCTTTATCTTGATCTTATTCTTTTCATGTTTATGCCACAATAAATAATTCTTATAAGGCCAAATATAGTACATATAAGAGATTGTAACTAATTGGGTCTGCAAACAGCAGTATGTTGTGCTAGCCAGATCCCTCTTCATTTCACCCACAGAAAGATACAACATCACTACTAGTGCTATTAGGTTGAACCACATAAAATAGCCAGTGTTGACCACTTCTAACCTATGAAAACATAATCATTTCATGATGCAGAAGGAATCACAGCAGGGTTTAGCTGGGTAAAAAAAAAACAACTACTGATATAAAAATACTATTATCAATTCTAACTACATTTACGCTAAAACTCCATTTAAAGCTTCTAACAGGGTGGAGACTATTGTCTACTGTTCACTAGTGCCTACCACTCAATAAATATTAGTTGCTCAACTACGGTTTCCATACTTTTTAATTCCCAGTGTCGTCGTCTTTTTTTTTTTTTTTTTGAGACAGAGTCTCACTTTGTTGCCCAGGCTAGAGTGAGTGCCATGGCATCAGCCTAGCTCACAGCAACCTCAAACTCCTGGGCTCAAGTGATCCTCCTGCCTCAGCCTCCCGAGTAGCTGGGACTACGGGCATGCGCCACCATGCCTGGCTAACTTTTTCTATATATATCAGTTGGCCGATTAACTTCTATCTATTTATAGTAGAGACGGGTCTTGCTCATTGCTCAGGCTGGTTTTGAACTCCTGACCTTGAGCAATCCGCCCGCCTGGGCCGCCTAGAGTGCTAGGATTATAGGCGTGAGCCACCGCGTGTCTTCACCAGTGTCTTCTAATAGACTTAATATCACAGTGATTGATAAGGATACACCAGCAGAGTGATGGCTTACCAGTGACTCTTTTACATTTGTAACGAGAAAATCCAAAACAGAACAAAAAACTTCTCACATAGATCTCAGTTCTACAAAGTTTCTACATTTCTCATTTTTATAAGCTACTCTGGCAACATATGCAAGCAAGACACACCAGTGGGGAAAAGTTTTAAAACCTAGATCGCAAAATTTTTCTTAAAGCAAGTAACTTAACCCCAAGACCCATGTATTCCTTTATAAAAACCCACCAACTGCTCCTGCCTAACTCCAAAGATTTTAAAGGAACAACTGTATGTAGTAAACAACTTTGAAACTTTACAAATCATTATGTAATGTCTTTAGTCTCACTCTTACATATCTATATTCGTTAGTGACTAATTTTCAGAGTTGTAATATAGTATTCAATCTTTCTGTAATAAAAACATTGATTTTATAAGCTCTCATAGATAATGATCTCTTCTTCTCAACCCAACTTAATCTAGAACGTTTCCATGCTATTTGAACAAAGAAATATTTTATGTTTTCCTAGGAGTGGCTATGGACAGGAACATTTTCTAGAATTAAGCAAGAGCATATGAACGTTGCCAAACAAGTTAGAATATGATTTACCAATCTTAAACAGTTTTCAGTTCTAAACCATCCAACACTTCTCCCCTAGAAGCACAGTAGCTACTAATTTGCCAAGGGCCAATCATATGGGTACCAGTTACCAAAGCACTCAAAATTCAGAAAACACAAAAGCTTTTGTGATTCTACAGAGATTCCTTCTGAGTAGATAGTTATAAACTGAGCTGTTAATTTGTTAGTTTTGGCCAGGGGAGCTTGTAATCCTAGCACTCTGGGAGGATCGAGGCCGGAGGATCGCTCCAAGTCAGGAGTTGGAGACCAACCTCAGCAAGAGCGAGACCCTATGGCTATTAAAATAGAAAAATTAATTGGCCAGCTAAAAATATGTAGAAACTACTACCCTTTGTGCAAGATGATGATAAAAGTAATAAAAGTGAGTTACCCATCTTTTTGAGTGTGAAACTGATCCTCGCGTCCCAGATCCTAGTTGAATTTAGAGATGTAACTGACCTCACAACCCACTCCCACTCACTGGCACCTAGAATTCAACCATTAGCTACCTGTTCCAGACTCCATCACTGAATTTACCCCTTTGACTCATACTATTTCATCAGACCATAATTAAAACGAAGAAATATCGTTTGTTTAGGATCTATTTAATGGTCCCATGAATACAAATGGGAGTTGAATGTTCTGGCTCCCTGAAGAAAAATATTCACAACATTAGTAGTGCTAAGGAGCTTTTATTTTCACAAAACTAACTGCTGCTAAAGGAAAAATTGATTCTCAAAAACTCCTAAGAAAGTAGCCCTTGCTTTGTCAAATGTTAAGGTAGATGTTTGAGAAAACATCAAGAAAAAAACAGTAACTTCTGTGATAACACTTAAGGTCAAAGGGATAGGTAAGGCCGGGTGCGGTGGCTCACCCCTGTAATCCTAGCTCTCAGGGAGGCCGAGGCGGGCGGATCACTCAAGCTCAGGAGTTCAAAACCAACCTGAGCAAGAGCGAGAGCCTGTTTCTACTATAAATAAAGAATTAATTGGCCAACTAATATATATAGAAAAAAATTAGCCGGGCATGGTGGCACATGCCTGTAGTCCCACCTACTCTGGAGGCTGAGGAAGGAAGATCGCTTGAGCCCAGGAGTTTGAGGTTGCTGTGAGAGCTAGGCTGACGCCACGGCACTCACTCTAGCCTGGACAACAAGGTGAGACTCTGTCTCAAAAAAAAAAAAAAAAAGGGGGGAGAGATAGGAATAAGCAGCTCAGTATGATTGCTTTAAGAACTACCCACAAAGTTAACATTTCCCCAATGGAAAGCTATACAATAAAATCATGATATGGCAATAGCTGCTGATTCCCTATTGATTAATCCCAGACTCTTTTCATGGGCTGGGCGTGGTGGCTCACGCCTGTAATCCTAGCACTCTGGGAAGCCAAGGCAAGGCGGAAGAAGGATCCCTTGATGTCAGGAGTTTGAAACCAGCCTGAGCAAAAGCGAGACCTCATCTCTACTAAAAATAGAAAAAAATTAATTGGCCAACTAAAAATACATACAAAAAATTAGCCGTGCATGGTGGCATATGCCTATAATCCCAGCTACTTGGGAGGTTGAGGCAACACAGTGAAACTCTGTCTCAAAAAAAAAAAAAAAAAGGAATAGCTGCCTTTTGCGCAAATTATTTTCGAAAACATTTTAAATATCCTGAATCATAAAATTACCCCCTTTGCCAAACAACATTGGTTTTACCAAATTCAGTTTAAATAATTTCATTCAAGTTGTTAGAAAGTATTTTTTATTCACTCCCATTGTTTTTTATCTACAATGGAAAAATTTCAAAACGAATTTTCTTTCTGCTTGCTTCTGAGTCTCCTGGAAAAGGGATGGATTTTATAGGCTGCTGTGTTCATGCTTTAGGGTACCTGTGAATCCATGAAATTGCTTGCTAAAACTCTGGGATTGTTTCTATTCAAAAAAAGTTTAAAAACCACATATATTCCACAAATAAGAAAGACTATGCCATTAAAAGGGAGCTAATCAGCATCAATTGTAGAATTGTAAAATACTATGTGCACATTTCTGAGAAACATGCTGTTATTTAGAGAGGTACAGAGGAAAATGGGTATAAATCAAAAAATGAAGGGGTGAGAACTGAAAGAAATGAGTTTAAGAAGGTGAAGATGAAAAAGACCCAAATGAAAAGTAATTTGTAACATGTAGTCTGTGTGAAATATCTAGAGAAAATCACAGAAAACAATGTCACATAGTTGTATAAGTATGGCAATTGAGAGCCAAAATATTTTTTACATTCTAGCTCTAGTAATTAGCAATTAAATGAATAAACCCCTGATGACAGATACAGTACTAAACTGTTAGCTAAGTAGTTAAAATACTGGAATGTAACAAGTTTAATATAGGTTTATTAAAATGTAAATATACAACTGTCAAAATCTCTCCCAAACAAAAGGCTTTTCATAACATAATTGGAATTATTTTGTGCTTAAAAATAAATCAATTAGTGCTCGCTTCGGCAGCACATATACTAAAATTGGAACGATACAGAGAAGATTAGCATGGCCCCTGCGCAAGGATGACACGCAAATTCGTGAAGCGTTCCATATTAAAAATAAATAAATAAATAAATAAATCAATTAACAAGATTCTTATAATTTGTGCTTTATTTCTGAATTAAAAGAGATGATGGCCAGGTACAGTGGCTCACACCTGTAATCCCAGCTACTGGGAAGGCTGAGGCAGGAGCATCACTTGAGCTCAGGAACCTGAGAACAGTCTCGGCAACATAGCAAGACCCCTTCTCTACAAAAAAATTAGTGGCACACAACTGTAGCCCCAGCTACTTGGGAGGCTGAGATGAGAGGATCGCTTGAGCTCAGGAGCTTGAGGTTGAAGTGAGCTATGAGCACGCTACTGCACTCCAGCCTGGGTGACAAACCTAGACAACTGCCTCTAAAAAAAATAAAAATTAGAAGAATAAAAAGGAGATGATTTCTAAATGTTACATGGAAGTACTTCACCCACAAACAACGTGCTCCCTTGAGCCTGGGAGGAGCTGAACTAGGAACACCTGCAAACGCTGCTCATTTCAAATATATAAAGGGATTAAATGATAATCCAGTATGCACACCTGCTCACGACTAGAAACTGTACAGCTTCACTTAATACATGGGGGAAGCTAAACTTAATTTAAAATAAAACTCTGATAATTAAAAAAACAAAACAAAAAATCAACAGAAGCAGGTTATTACCACCTGTGGGTTTAAGAA